TCCCATGATCCTCCAAGTAGCATTTCGGAAGTAGCTGTCACTGCGGCAGGAATCGATCCACCAACAAGAACTGCTCATGCGTTCTCGAAGCGTGACTAATTAAGCCCCAAGGGGAGTTTCGAAATACTACGCCCGAAGCCCTAAACACATTCCTAAACCCTAAAACCCTAAACCTTGAACCCTAAACCCGCATCGAAACTCCTTACTCAACCGTATATTTTCAAGTTAGGTTTCAATTTGGGGTATAGGGTTCTGGGGGGTGTAGGGTTAGGGGTTTTGGGGAGTTTTTCGGGCCCTAAACCTCGAAACTATAAGGCTTTGTTTGGGAGCTCCGGGTTCAGAGTTCAACCCCCGAAGCCCCAAACCGGAGCCCAGAGAATCTGAAATGCTGGGCCGCGCACGCCGACACGCCCGAGACGGGCCCAGTGACCACGAGGGCTCCGATCTGAGCGAGGAAATCGGTTGAGGTCTAGTTTTTTTTTGTTTTGTTGAGCTCCTTTTTCCGGCTGCAAGATCCATCCGAAAGGCCTGAAAGGACAGGAGTTCGGGCATCACACACGACACGTTTAGGGTTTATAGGGTTTAGAAATGCTTAGAGCGTGTCGATTTAGGTTTTCGGGTTTCGTTTTTGGGATTCGAACTCAGTTTTAAGGGTTTCATGTTTCGTTTTGGGACATGTAGTTCGGGTTTTGTCTTCCGGATTCTAGCTCGGAGTTCAGGGCTTTGGGCTGCGGTTTTCGGGTTAGTGCATCATCATCATAGCTTGCGCATGCTGAGATTTGAGATTTAGTTCACGGTTAAAAAAGTTGCATCGCGCATTTGAGATCTTGAGTTTCGTTCCGATGCGCATCCGGGCTGAGGGGTGAACTGGAGAAGGTGCCACTGCTGCGGAGTTCAACTGACCATTCCCGTGCGGCGGCGAAATCAAGGTTGCAGACACTTCCAAGTCCTACAATTTAGGGTTTAGGGTTTAGGGTTTAGGGTGCAGAGGGCAGATCACTTGCTCGGTGGCAACATCAGGCAGTTTGGCTGCTTATAGAAGGCCGTGCCTTCCTACCTCTAACCTAAGGCAGTGAGGACTCATAGGTTAAAGATTTTGGGCCCAAAGACTATATAGCACAAAAGGCTTTTGGGCTATTTTCAAAGTAAACTCTTCAAAACGGTAAATGCCGCAATCGAAATCCTGGAATAGGATTAGGGATAAGGGTTCAGGCTCCTAAACCCTGCTTCAAGGATCATGGGGGTTAGTAACTATAGAATTATTATTAGGGTAACTCTCCTTATAACTACATATAGCGCCAATGAAGGTACCTATAACAATACTTACTAAGTCCCATGATCCTCCTAGTACAATCTTTGTGCCCTAAACCCTAAACCCTGAACCCTATACCCTAAACCCGAAA